ATGCAGCCATTTTTAAAATTCTAACTAAGAGTAGAAATTCATTTTTTAAACGAAGTCTTCCTTGGCGTTGCCGTCCTGACTGCTTAAGGTCCCTATAAACTTCTTTTAGTTCTTCAGGTAGGCCTTTCAAGAAAGTGTCAGTAATATTAGCATATCATGCTATTAGCATTGCTCGATTTGTTCCAAATTATGCTCAAAATTAATATCTTGAACATAATGCTACTTTTTCTCAATTTTAAATTCATAGTTATTGTTAGTTAAGCTTAACATCGTCTCCATTTGAGTTACACATTCGCCCTGATAAAACACAATTAACTTCTGCATATAATTCCAGAGTAAACACAGTGATGTATAGTGTCAAAATGTATCATGTTAGCATCCCAATTCTCTTCGACGCACGCCATTCTGTTGTCTGTGAGAGCAGGAACTGGGACCGACACAATCTTTACTTACGGTGTGTCCAGTCCTCTAGGCGATAAACGACTCAGTGTTACAGTAACCCGCTTCACCCAAGACAGAACAAAATTGAAAGTACACTGAACCATGAATCTTAAATACCAAACAAGCCATAACTCTAATATTTTTTCCATAAAGAAAAAAACTAAAAATATGCTAATTAGGTTAGCAACGCTACATTTTTAAAGATGGCAAATATAGGCTGCTCGTTTTTCCAAATTATGCCAAAAATTATGCTAAGGCAATCTAAAAGGTTTCTTCAGGGGAAAAGACCTATCAGATTGTTCCGTTCTTGCCTTTCACCCGCCAAAAAAATTAAAATGAAGACAAGGAAGAATCGAAGAATGTGAAAATTACCAACAAATGCCCAACGCAAACAAAAAACAAACCAACGAAGGGATAAAACAAATCATTCTGGCACTCAAGTCTTACAGCAAATAATAGTCACTGAAAGATTGATATTCACGTACTTGCGCCAAAGCCGTTGTGATGAATTTCCCCCCAGCAGCTCCAAAAACCATTTTCACGTTCCCAGCTTTATCTAAGATGATGGAGGGTGAAGCAAGAGACACGGGTCTTTTGTAAGGTTTGAGTTCGTCAATCGCCAATTTAAATTGCTTTAGCCTTACATTCTCGTAAGTGTCCAGCAGCTGATCATTGTAAATTATGCCAAGCTTAGGACTTCTAAGTTTTGCTCCAAAACTGTAAATCAAAGCAATAGCATGGTTTTAATCTCTGAGGCGTCTGATGTAGCATCGTGTTGTACAGAAATCTAGTACTTTTGAAACATTTCGAGAGATTTCGTCGAGCATCGCGCTCAAAGTCCCGTTCGCGAAGTCAAGATGTTAGCAGTCTGGCCCTCTAACGCAAAAGGACTCCCGAATTTACGAAAAGCATCTGACGAGTCTCTTGGCCGAGACGAAACGCAGCTTCATACCAGCCACGAAATATTTTTCACAAGTATTTGCAAATTTTTCATTGTATATAATTATCTTAACTCGTGCGAAAATTGGGTTCTTGTCAATCTATCGTTCTTAGAATTCACTCACTATTTATTGATTGACGTTGTTAAGGAAACAGCATTTCCTTCTGCATCGAGAACAGAGACGTGAGTTGTGCCATCTGTAATGTCGACATTGTAGTTAATTGGACCATAATAATCAAAGGAATGTGTCTTATCGCTTATCAATCTGCGTATCTGCTCGCTTTTCTCAGGATCCAACATTTCCTTCACAATCTGAGGAAGGAGAAAAATAGGCCAGGTCATGATACTGCATTGGAGTATAAATAGGCTTTAATGTTTTCAAATGAATAAAGGCTGATAGTTTCTAAAAAAAACTGTTTGGGGCTGCGTCGGTGGGGGTAATGTTTACATATGGATTCTGCATCAGCGTGGAAAAGTTGTTCCGATGCGCAAATGAAGTTACTGGAAAAGAGTACATTTGGTAAATTTGCCTTATGTGTTAATGTGGCTGTAAAGCTGGGAAAATGTAGAGGTCTGCAATCTGTAGATCAGTTCCACTAAGATGTAACAGGTCCCCTATAATGAATGTGTCGACTCGATGAATAAACGTGATTGGTCAGCAAGAGTAAAGTTACGCTTCAATGGGCAAATAGCGTTTCTGTAATAGCATAATAATGGGTATCAGCATGTAAATGTTGATTGTTGATTGCTACACAAAAAATACAGGTCCGCAATGAGTAGGTATGCTATGCTAGGATGTAACCGTTCTGTAGCGAGAGTGAACGAACAGCTCTTTTTCCACTGAACATTAGATGAAGTCATAAGGTTTTATATAAACCTACATATAGACAATCTTGCCCGTTCAGGATCTGAAACGTTAACAGCACCTTAACGACAAATCTGTAACGAAATTGAACTGAACAGATCGATGTTTTTTCAACATCAACTATCTTACCTCATTAACGTCTTCATCAAAGTCAGGATCTGTAAGATAAGTCTGTTTGGCTGCCACGAAGTTAAACGCTTCGATCATGCGATGATACGTCAAAATAGGCTGATGCTTCATATCATTTGCACTAAAATTAAAGCCTGGACCAAGAAAAATAATTTAGTTTGTCGAGAACATATGACGTGATACATGAAAAAATAATTTTTAGAGAAAATAACAACATTTTCCTATGAGATGGCTAACATGACATATGGAGTCAGTGTGATCTCTGAGAGCACTATTCAAAGAAGGAAGGCTTCTGGGTTCAAGTTCAGGAAAACTATCCACAAGAGCCGAGCGCGGGAAATCACAGTAGTGTAAGTCATTATCATTTTTTGGCTTAACTTTTCTTTGCAAATTAACTGATGGGCGAAGGCAATCGAGATGGGTGCGGGAAAAAGAGAGAATGAAATTAATTGAGCTTTATTCTGTAATGCTATCAAAACTGAAAGAGTGTGCTCACCTTTGAGAATGTTCAATATGTTGATTAATGCGGCACCACCGGCAGGGGGTGGAACGGTCAGAAGTTTGTATCCTTTGACCCCAGGGAGAGAAACTTCCAATGGTTCAACTTCAGTAGCTCTGTATTCTTTCAAGTCTCTTAGGTTAATACAGGAACCTATGGATTTGACGTCTTTGACGATCTGCCAAAAAAGAAGTCTTCACTTTTCTTGCCTTAACCCATTCACAGCATAACAAATAAATTTTGTAGTCCTCTCAGAGATTTGGGTATCACCTCTAAACTTCAGACAAATCGAGATGACTACTTTGGTTCCTTTTCGCAGGGAGAGATCAGTCCAAGGCATTGATTCCTCTCCTTTCTTTTATAGCATTTTTTTTTTATCACATCCTCCATAAGAAATCATACGAAAAAGTAGAAATAAACCGCTAATCTACCAAAACTGAAGAACACCAGTCATGCAGTGAAAAAAATGTTCAATGCCTAAAGCCCGACAGATCAAAACGTGACATGGATGATACGGGATGGAATTCTGTTAACAAAATCCCCCAATCAGCATATGAAAGAATAATTTGTGATGATTTATCTATTGTAACTATTTATTATTCGCATATTACGAAAAATCTATCATGATTTTGGACCTGTCATTACCTTATTCGCTATTTTTCCAGTGTAGAAGAGGTCAGCTCCTGAGTTAGCAATTTTACTAAGGGTTTTTCCATATTTTGTTCTCTTGATGATGTCTCCTTCTTTAATGATTCGACCGTTTCTCCTGAATAACTCTCTGCAATGAAAGTAAATAAACCATGTTACAGACGTTTTTAAGAACTTTAGTCGGGTAAGGAAACGAAAGAATTGCTTGAGACCTAAAGATCAATGGAGATTACCTCACACCCTCCTGCACTTTTTTGAGGGCCTAAGGCTCACTTTATCAATATTTAGGCTCGGGATCGATGAGATGAGGGCATTCAACAATCACCTTGGTTACGAAAAGAACGAATGCCTTTTGAGAAAAAGAAACCGACCTTCGAAAAGACTTAAACAAGAGGATAAAACAATTTTGTTTTCTGATACTGAAAATTAAATGTTGTCTTATTGCGCCATCACTTCGAGGCAACGACAATTCGTCGAGAGGAAAGGATATACCGCTGGGCTGTTAATGGCTGTTCGATCCAAACAAGATATCACCAGGCAGTGGCGATATCTCGTTGGATATAAGCGATACATCGTGGGGCGGAAACGATAATTTATCGCTGTTAAAGCAGTATACTCTGAGATATACAGTTTCTACTCAACCATCGTTCAAATATCGTCGATAGCTCGCGATTTTCACGATGATGCTCTATTACCATGTGATACTATAGCTCAGTACTGTATTGCACGTGTAAGACCTAGCTCTCTTTTTATAGATGTGGTCCGGCATTAAAGAGAAAGGCCGTAAACGCGATTTCTTTCACGATTTCAAGTTCTGGTATAAATATATTTTTCTTGCTTTCCTTGCTCTTTACTCATTTTGTTCCTTTTCATTGATAATTACGTTTTTTTTTTTTTCATTTAATAAATAATGTGATTGGTCCTTAACGTCTTGTCAGTGAAATCATGGTTTAAGAACACCCACCTAAAATATGAAACGGGTTCAGGAGCAGAGGGTTAAAAAATAAAACTCAATTTGCCCATTTAAACGTTACATTATCAGTGAAGCTCCTCTGGGTTTAACTCCGTATAAATGACCTATTGAAACACCAACATTTGAGCATGTGCTTCACTGTCAGAGTATCCATTCTTAGCTATAGCTTTTCAGAAAATCAGTGGTCACTAACGATGCAGGTTTGTAAGAATAATTGCTCATGTGTGGAAAAAAAAAAACTGGCAGAAAACTTGTTACAACGGTATTACATATATCTTATTAACCAAGCGCGAGGGCCGTACTGAGAGAATATTGGCCCTCGGTCTTTTTTGTACGGACCTCGCTGCGTCTAAGTCTAAGAACGGTAGAATATCTCACCTCAATCCAGAGTCGTGCGTAACATTCACCCAATTAATTCGTACAGCCTTCACGAGTGCACGATGCGCTGGAAAGCCCTTTGTTGCAATTTCGATAGCGGGTTGAAAAAGTTTTCGCCAAGGCAGTCGACCGTACTTCTTCCAAGCCAGTTCGAATCCGCGAAGCTCGCCAGGCACGCCGATAAATTCTCCTTCGCCTGATATATTTTTTCTCCTCTCTGACAAAATCGAAATTAAATAGTTTCAATGAGCTTGTTTAGGTTACCTATGCTCTCTCTCTCTCTCTCTCACTGTGAATAAATTTTATTCGTGTTATAGGTAGGAGAGTGGGGGGAGGGGGAAAGGTTTGAAGCGGAGAGCAGCGAGGATAACTGACGTCCTAACTTAAGCTGGTGCCCAGATCTTACTTGCATCATCAACCCCTAGGTTTCTCGGGGCTTTAACGCGAATGCTTATAACAGTGACCCACCCGGTGATTTCTTGCGCCAATCGCGTTGCTTAGCAGAAACTGCTAAATGTCCTAGATGCAGTTGTTATGACCCTGCTTGTATCTGTAGTTTCTGTATACCAGGTATGAATGAATTTTCTATTATGCCCATTCTCACGACTTTCGTAAATCCTTGCGCACCGCCAGCAAAGTCAACGAATCAGTTCCAGGTATTAAATCACATCAACTTTAAGAATTTAGCCCCTCAAGAGCAAAATTAAAATGAAGGGCCATATAAGCAGATGAGTCACTGGACTAAGATGCTGATTTACCGGAGAGCTCTAATTTTAAGATTGAAGTGGATCAAACTCAGTACTCTTTACCTCTTTCTTTCCATTTTTGCTTGAGGTTTAAAAAGTCTTTCATCGTTCTAGCATGTTCGTGGCGAGAAACCATCTCCCTGAAGTTTATTGCTGTAGTTTTCGCTGCGAAAAATAACAAGCCCGAGACAAAAGTAACATTGCTACATTCCATCACCAGAAATCGGGGACATTTCGAGCCCGTGACGAAATGTCAGCGGTATATCGTATTACAGACAATTCAATATGGCGGCGGTGGAAGTGAAGTGAACACGTAACTTTCTATTTTCGTAAAACTCCACGAGAGAAAGGCCTGGTACCTTTCTATCCCAGAAAGCCAAAGGAGACGTCAAAACAAGGAAAATGGCGGCCAAATTGTGCAGTTACTGGGACTTGTATCTTTCGTGTTCTTCCTTCCTAAAAGTGGGGCAATTAAAAATGGCGTGTTTGGCTTTTGAACTCTGTGAAAATACGAAGAGTTTTCCCGCTCGAGGAAAATTTGTGGGCCAACATATTCGACCGTTTACGAGCGATTTAGTTGAGCAAACGTCTGCAGAATGCATATCGAACTACGCACTTGCGAATCTTCACAAGGTTGTTCCCACGACAAAAGAATTGTAACACCTAGTCGAAGCAGATTTTAAGAGTTTGTATGGGAAAATGGAGTCAGAATTATGAGTTTACTCGTATATCTTGGGAAAATGTAGGCTTGAACTGGAGTATTTCTTTTTCGTAGCGATGGACGCCTTAACCAATGCAGGCTGCATTTCCAAGTACGCAGCGAAAGAATATCCCATTCTCAGACAGCTATTTTGAAAAAACAATCTTTTCCCATACATTTTCTTATACTGTTTCGGCGCCATTTTGCTTGTAACACGAGAACCACCTCCGCTATAATGTCCCAAATCTCTGGCAATGATTATTCTCAGTTGGGGTAAACGCATGGAAGTACAAATATTCTTTGGTAGTACAAATAGTCCTTTCTTAATTATTAGTTTGCTACGTTGACTGACAGAAATGAAGGTTAAGTTTTTTAGAGAAGAAGAAAAAGTGGACATGACCATAAGGTGCGAACAGCATGTGTATACAAAGTTATAGCTACAGTGGGGTTGAGTTATGAAATAGCTTTCCAAACGAAATTAAACAATCAAACTCCCCAAATAAGTTCAAAATAAAATTGAAGAAGCACATCTTACAAAACCGATATAATTGCTACTACTATTCGTAGATGCAATTGCAGCACTTTGATCGTTGTTTCCAGTAACTCACCCCTTTTCTTGTCATAAATGATCATGAATCCTCCACCTCCAATACCCGCTGAATGAGCATTCACTACACCCACACACAGAGCAGTTGCAATGGCGGCGTCCACGGCATTGCCATGCTGATCTCGTAAAATTTCAGCTCCATGTTCTGAACATTTTTTATGATCTGCAGCAACTGCCGCAGTTTTGAACTTCACAGGCACGGAGTACTTTGGTGAAAGCGACCTACAAGGAGGCGAAATTTATAATGATATCTTCACGCACAGTCCATGAGATCTTTCCCTCGCGTGTGACTGAATTGAATGCGTCAAGACTGAATACGCCTCAGGTAAACTGTCCAATGATATTTTCCATCATAACCCACCAACTAATTTTTCGATTTTACAGCCTACTTTATTTCACGTGGTGAAAAAACACGCGAAAGCTATCATGCAATAATTCCCATCTGCTTTGATATTTTTACCCCGGATATTTCCCCCGATAATAATCAAAGCCAGAAGAGAAAAGTCAGCTCAAAAGTTTCACCTTTTCATCTCTATTACAATAACCTTACATAGACGAAAAACAAACTCGTTAGGGAATTAAGAAAGCAGGTCGCTCATGAATATTTTCCGCCAAATACTCATTTTTTGGACAATCTCTTAGCCGCGGACATTATTTGCGAACATACAGCTGCCTAATGAGTTTTATTTGCAAAATGTTCAAACTACACGTCCACTGACATAAAATCTCCATCTGGCCCCGGTTGTTGGAAGGTTGGATAACGCTGTCCACTGAAGAAATCTCTAGCCGGTGGATAGCGCAGTATATTTTGTTAACACTTATCCGCTGGATAGTGATTTATCCGTTGGACAGCGTTAATAATAATAATAATAATAATAATAATAATAATAATAATAATAATGATAATAATAATAACATATTTATGCAGGATAACCAATTCAGTTATAAAAACTGCTATCAATATGGGTCCTGCGGAAAGAAAAAAAAAACAGTGTGTAAAAGTCAGAGATGCCACATACACAATCTAAGAACATATATATAAAAAGAGATAGGAAGACTAGAACTAGATTCATAGATAATCATTAAATATATCGGCCCCCTTATACAAAAATGCTCTTTTGGTTGATTCTAATTTAACCCTGTCAATAACCAATCTGTCCTTATTCCTAATGTTATAGTCATGAATATCATTACTATAATACCAGGAATTATCCATTGTTTGAGCAACCGGGTCCAGATATTTTATTCAAGGAAGGGGAACCTTTTGCTATCGTTTTAACACGATAAGAAAAACACTTGAAGACCAATGTGGCCTCCATTTGAAAAGAGCTGGGCACGTGCGCTTTGCAGACCCTTCATTAGCCTATAATTGGCCCTTTCATACTCTGTTTGTGACAAGCGATCCCCAATTTATTCCTCGCGTGTTTTCGGTAGCAGTGTCAAGGTACTTCTCAAGTCCTACTTGACCAAACATCGATTTGAACAAGGGCACTTCAGTAACAAGAGGAAAATTGTTAAGAACAGCATTTTCTTTTCAGATGACTTGACAGATAATTTCACGGATAATCTGAACTGAAATATATAATTATATAGGTTATTATTCGTCTATTACCTACTCTGTTTTATGTCAGCTCTACTACCGTTCTTGAGAAGCTCTTTGATCTGTTTTCCAGTGCCAGTTGCGTAGTTGCCAGTAGCTCCTCCAATGCAACACAATAGGGTAATTACAACCAGGCTTCGTTTCACCAAACACATCCTCCGAAAAATGACATAGTTTTTACTCTTGCACTCCACCACTTGAATTCAAATTTGTTCTACTCAAAACTTTTTGGGCTGAAATGCTCTGAAAGCTATTTTAAACGCATAGGAATTTAGTTGGGGAGCGGACTTCAAATATTCTCTTTATGAGCAATAAGTTGGCGTCGACTGAAACTATAGTTTGGATTAAATAGCAAGAATTTCTCCCTATTTTTCTTTCCTAGTCCTGATTAGGTCCGATGAGTCATTTATCTTATTTTGAAAACAACGTTATCAAATGAATAATTCAGAAAGCTAGTGACCTTTTAACGGGAGCAGGTTGACAATGTTGTGGAAAAAACGTTTTGTTGAAACGGTCTGAGGCAACTGCCATGGTAGACGTAGGAAATCTAGACTTTATCTCTTAATGGAGCTAACATGTAAACTTTCGTATGCGCTTTGGGAAATTTGTTTGTGTTTTAAGAAACTGGTATATGTTTTAGTAAATTGAACTGCATTTTTGGAAAATAATTTTTGTTTTTAGAAATCAATTTGCGTTTTGAGAGATTAATTTGTGTTTTAGGAACTGGTCTGTGTTTTGGTCTACCGTTAATGGTTTAAAGACAGCTATCAAATAAATAATTAAGTGGGCTAATGGCCTTTTCAGCGGAACAGGTTGACAATATTCATTTTAGGTCATTAACGGACGTAATAATTGCTTCTGACTGACGGAACGACCTTGAGTCGTTGAAGAAGTTTTTTTTTTTAAGCCATTGTGGTAAAAATCGTATTAAGTTTAATGATTCTGTCAGTTAGATGCATGTAGTCACTTCCTGAGCATATTTCGAAGATGTTATTGCATACTGGTTCACTTTCACTCAACTTTGCTCATCAGTTGATCAGGTCGACTGGTTACGCATTTTCTAAAACGCACGATTTTTCATTGTGACTGGTTGGGTTTCTACGCGTGACCTACCCAACAACAGAAGATGCATCAAGAATCGCGTTTTTCCTAAAAAGAACCTGCAAGTGCACGCAGAAGGATCCACGCAACCGACATAATCTACGAAAATCCTAACAGACCAGGAGCTATTCGAGGGAAGAAACATTTTCAAGGTTCAAGGGTATGGTCGTTTTATTAAGGGACAACTGAGGGACCAGTCATTATTTATGGCGTAAAGGGTAAGAGGGTAGGGTTAGGAGGGGCGGAGAAGATGAGGAGTTTGTGGGAATCACACAAATTTCAGGGGAAACGAGGGGGGATGAATGACTACCAATAATCCCCCTTTAGAGGGAGGTTTATAAGAATACTATAGAGGCTTAGGAGGGATCAGTTGAATGTTATCGTGACACAATCTAAATCCTCCATCCCCGACCCCCTCCCTCTCTACTCATGGTAAAATAATGACCGGTCCCTAAATTAAAATATCTTTGTTTTACGTTTAGCGCCCCATTGGCTGAAGGAGATGGGTCGATAACAAATATGGATAGCCACATCTATTGAGATTTGGCAATATAATTATTTACCCTTTAAAAAAAATTAATATCAAAGAGGAGCAAAACAACCATGTCTTATTTTTCAAGTAAAAGAACAACTGGATAATTCATTTAATTTTATCTAACATTAACTCATAAGTAATGTGGCGCACTACTTCTCCTACCATTTATCGAGGTTTGGACTGTGAATCCTTTTGGATCCTTCTGGCGCG